ATCCATCCATCCATCCATCCATCCATCCATCCATCCATCCATCCATCCATCCATCCATCCACCCACCCACCCACCAACTAACCAACCAGTCAATCATTAAATTAATCAATATTTCTTGCACTGTAAACATTTAAAATTTTTGGTGCATTTGATTAAAGACAGTATTTAGCGTTAATCTGTACCAAAAAAATACAGATCTTATAAACTCAAGTGTTAATGGTTCGAGTGTCCTTACTGTAAGAAACGTCATCTTCGTTTTGAGTGAGTGATCAGATTTTGGAATATTTATATCTCATAAACAAAATAAAAAAAGTTTGTATTTGTAATATCTAGAGCAAGAAGGAAGGGCCCACCCAGCAGTTTAAATGGATACCGGTGAAGTAAATGTCGGGGGTAACCCTGAGATGAATAAGAGTCTCATTCGAGAGGAAGTAGATTTCATGCTACTGAAACTTGAGATGAGCTCCATCCTGATGGGCCATTTACGTGCGAATGCCGACTTTATTTTACTTCAACTATTTCTATGTCTTTCGTACAACAGTGGCACCCGAAGTTTTTGACGAACGTAGTGCTGGCGGTAATGCAGCTGGTAGTGCACAAGATGCGATCAACAGTAAGTTTGACTGTTAAAGAAAATCGCAGAAATAAAGATGTAACATGTCTAACTGCAGTACCACTTAAATCATCCATTGGTGACTAGAATCTATTTTTACCCCAAGAATTGAATATGAGCCTGCGCTTTGTATATTCAGAAAGTTGCCAGGTAGTGTAAAACACTTATTGCCCATACTGGAGTCGCCAGTTTTGAAATGCTCACCTGAAGCTTTGTTATAATGTAGCTCCCACTAAAAAAGCGAAAGCTTGAAATGCACCCACAAAGTATTTGAGGAATTATTCTGAGGAAGGTAAACTGAAACATATTTACATATCGAATGTGCTAAATTCTGAGCTATGCATTCTTTTCCATACATTCTTTTGTATACAAAACTGATAGCATACTACTGCAATATAGCCTGGTAGGCAGCCGGTTATTTTATTTTTAAAGGTTGTTTCTGTTTTTACTGTGTTTAAAAGCACTATGAAGTCTATAGAGAAAGCAATTAGACGTACATTTTTTTTCTCTGGTCCGAACCAGTTGTTCGTGCCCAGTTCAAACTTTGATAAATTTGTGGGAAATTAGTTTGCCGCCTCGTACTTTTCATCTTTAAAAGTAGATGGGTGAGTCTATGTTTTAAAAGCTTACTTGACTTGAAGTTTTGTAAATTGCTAGTTCACACTAGTGCCATTGTGACGTGACGAAATAAACATAACGCCGAGGACGTTATGTTCGGCGTTATGTTTGCAGTATGAACATCCTGACATAATGGCATAATAGCAACATGAGAGCATGAACATAACAACATAAGGAAATAAAAACTGATCTTTTTCTTATGTCTTTATGTCGATGTTCACCTTACCAACATCAGCGATGTTGTCGATATACCATTATGTCGTATGAACAAGGCCTTAGTAAGTTAATGTCACTTTAATAACACGTGCTACGCTGCTTTATCGATTTCCAGGTTATGGCACGTGCTCTATATTTGGAATCGCACATTACAACACCTTTGACAATTTGACGTATAGCTTCAACGGCAAATGCAATTACGTCATGGTAAAAATCCCATCAGAACCGGACAAGCTGAAAGTGATCGTCAACAATGATGCTCAATGCGACCCTCTTACACCCTGCCAAAAGACGCTTACTGTTATTGCTTACGGGGTTGAGGTTGAACTCGGTAAAAGAGAAAGCAATGGGCAGTTTCTGGTGAAAGTTGACGGTGCAGAAATTAATAAGTTCCCATATCTACACCAGCCTGACCGAGCAGTGTATATTAGAGTCATGGTATGTATGGTTTAAGTTAGTTCATAGAGTATTAAGACGAAACCTCGTGTAACTTACACTATGGAAAAATAGCTGCAGGGAAACACAATAACAACAACTTCGTAAATAACAACACCAACAAATAATTTAATTTGCTGAATTGTTCAAATTAATCTGTCATATAAAGCAGTTTTCACTTCAGTGTCGAACGTTACTTGCTTTTTCTTTGGTTTTGCATTACCGCGCTTCGTGATTGGCTTAAAAAACTCGCGCCACTTTGGCAAGCAAATGTGAAACCAAAACAAATCGTGACTCACTGTCACCGTGCTTTGCGACAGCTTCATGTATTTGTCTGGAGGTTTGATTGGTTCAATGGATTCTCTACCTCCCTATGATTGTCCATAGTGATTACTTTGGTTTTAGTTACGATGCCAAGTTGAATACTGCTCTAATAACCTTTTGTTATTTTCATTATCATTACCTTTTCTGTGTAATTTTTAGATCAATGATTTCTTGCCTCGAATGGGGTCTTGGACGCGTTTTGCAGACATTTTATTATTTCTTATTCATTCATTTTTAATAACCTCATTATTATTATCATTTGCATTAATTTTTGTATTTTAGATATTCTTTGTTTTTTATCATTGTATACTTGTGTTCGGATAAATTGTTATAAGTAAATTTATATACACATGTAAAGTAGACCTGCCAAAGAGAATACATATCGGACCCTCAGATTGGAATACGAGTTTAAAATTGAGTACGAGTACGCTTCACATTTCCTTTATGACATGGCAAAGGTTGCACATCCGGCCACGGAGTGCTGGCGCAGGTGCATGAGATCAAGTTAATATAATGCAAAGTAATGCTGTGCTGTGCATGGTGCTCTTACAAAGCAAAAAAAAAAAAAAATAAATAAATAAAATAGTTAATTTTTTACTTGATACGATTTTCGAACTTCAAACCAGTGACATTTTCAGAGTCCTCGCTCTTCATGTTGGTTTTAGAAAGATAGGTTAGCTCATAGGATGAGATGGGTATGTGATGTGATAATGTGGAGGCTGCAAACCAGAAGTAAAAACTTGTACTCACACCTGAAGACCCTCTATGGAAAATAAACAGAGATGAAGAACACATTCCTTGTTTTCTTTAAGTTCCCAGCAGATGGCGCCAAGCAATACATCGTAGTGTCGACAAAAGACAAGGCGGATATTATATGGGATGGAGAGCGGTCAGCAGATATTCAGCTCCCAGAAGAATTCAAAACCAAAACTGCGGGTCTTTGTGGAACCTTCAATGATAATATCAAAGACGAGTTCACGGATACTGACGGACAGGTCCAAGAAAAAGAATATGCGTTCGCCAATTCGTTCATAGATAACAATTGCGTGTCTGGCCCAGTGACTCCAAGACCATGCTATGATTTAAAAGAGGCGGATCAGATGTGCTCGAAGCTAGAGGAGAACGTATTTTCTGCCTGCAGCAGCGTCGTTGATAGTTCTTATTTGAAAACACTTTGCATGAACGATGTTTGTGCCAGCCCCCTGGACCAGCGTGACGACATGGTGTGTGCCATGCTCACCCGATACAGTAGACAGTGTGCCTTGAATAATGTTGTACTAAGCTGGAGAGCACCGAACCTTTGCCGTAAGTAACATAATTATAATAGAAAAATACTGAAAGCTTCGTAAGTAATTATCTTTTCTCAAAGTCATTAATAATTCATCAAGTTAAAACAAAGAAAATCACAACCGTTAAGGAGGTTTGGATGCCCGGTCTTAATTAGCACAGATTTTGACGATTTTACTTCTCCGTTTATTCCTTAGCTTTTGTTTCGATTGAGAAGTTGTATCAATCACTCGAGACAGTGTTTCATCGGCTATCCAAACACCTCGCATTTCGTCAAAAATGCTCCACTGCGCGTCGTAATTTGAACTTTCTTCTCGGTGTTTGGATATCCCGATGAAACACTGTCTCTCGTGTTTGATATATTTCTTCGCGCACTCTTTTACTCCCCCACCAGATAGCTTTCCACTCTGATTTTGGTCAATAGAGAGGTTAAGCATGACGTTTACGGCAAACGGCAAACGGCAAACGGCAAAAATGAAACTTTTGCCGTCTCCCTTCAGCTGTGTGTACAGTAGAGTGAAATTATTGGTATTTGCAATGAATAGTAGGAGACGTTATTCCATTTTTTGTGAGCTTTTACGGATTAGAAGAAAAGAACTCAAAATCAGAAGTTGTCTTTGCCGTTTGCCGTCTGCCGTTAACGTCATGCTTAACCTCTCTATTGTTTTCATGGTCGAACGCCCCCTTACCGTATAGGCTCCCAAACAACATTTTTTCACAAGTAAGAGCTAACTTAGAGCGTCCGGGTCAGCGGATTTGAGACCATGATTCTTTCTTAGTTCTGCCTAGATCTGTCTTTTCTTACAAGTAATTAAGAGAAATTCCCTCGCATCCTGGACATCGGGGATTAGACCATGAGGGTTTCGTAGTTCTGGCTAGATTTGGCTCTGATTGATCGTTTTGTTCGCGGGAAAGTTAAAACTGAGCAATATCCAGTAAGAGTCGGAAAAACGATTCTTTAGCACTTCGTCACAAGAATGGAATCCAAGAATTCTTTCGAGGGGGTGGAGGAAGGAAATATTGCAAGCAGAGAAAAAACACGTGTTCATTGAAGTCCAGTTAAAAATCTTTTTTTCCTTTTCACAATGTTGTTCACAGCAATAACGTGTCCAGCAACTATGGTATACAGTGAATGTGCACCAGGCTGCCCAAAAATCTGCAAAAATCTCGACATGAAATGCTCCACGAAATGTATCCCTGGTTGCACCTGCCCAAATGGGCAATATCATGATGGTAAAAAATGCGTCGACAGGGATCAATGTTCCTGCTACTACCGT